CGCTCCTCGAGCTGGGGAGTCCCGGCGCCCGCCGCTTTCGCTTTCTCTTCCCCAGACCCAGCCCCGGTTCCGGGCAGGGCCGCCAGCAGGGGACGCGCGACACCTGCGGACCGCGGAGCCCCAGTGTGGAGCCGGGCGAGCATTCGCCAAGCCTGGCAGTGAGCTTCCTGCCCTTAGCAACAGTTACTCTGGAACAGAACACTGTTGCAAGCGTTTTAAATTGTCATGAAGTAAAATAAAGCTATTTCAAGAGCTGAGATGTTTTGTCGTTGGAGAACCACTAGATTTTCTCGCCTCAAGCTCTTACTACCTGAAGCTCTGGTCCTATTTTGAGATCTGCCTCTTCCTCCATCCAAGCCCCAGTTTTAGGGTCTGGGATCAAAACAGGGCCAGATCCTGAGCGAAAAACGCTCAGGACCTCTCCTAGATAGAAGGTTCCAGACACTTTCACCAGGGCCTACGTGGGTTTCCACTTAATCAGATTTTGAGCCAAAAGGCCCTGATTCTTCACTTTCATCTGCCCCCTCAACATAGTACCTTGAGCAGAGCACTTGTTCAGATGCCTCTACATTTGCGTTTCAAAATACGTTGGGAGCACCTTTGGCATATGAGGAAAATGGACTTTTTTCCTGGCGTATTTTAACAGTGATTAAGCCGTAAACAGTATTCTAAATCCCGCCTGACCCAGGGCCCATCTATGGAACATGCAGGTATGTTTATTCCAGAAATAACTCTTCAGATTGAAACAATCTGCCAAACTCAAAATATCCCCAAAGTAAGGATCACTTGCATTCCAAACTACCCCTTTGTTACTGGGGTGTTTACCAATGAGGCACTTCTGGTTTAAAGAGGGGTGGGGGATTTGAAGTAGGAGGTTACTGAAATCACTCCAACCTTGCCATTCTGGGATTTGAAGGCTCTCTCCCTGTTGAGCGAAAGCTCCCTGTTCAGCTACTTCCTACTTTCAGGTTTGTCCTTTGACTAACTCCTTAAGAGGTGACATACCCCATGACACGCACCTCCAGCGTGACTCAAAAAATCTCCTCATGTCTGTTTCATATTTCTAACCTGCTTACTTTTTCTTCATATTCTCCTCTTCAAGGAGTCCTTTTCCTCTTCAGTCATGGTCCTGTCATCTTCCACCTGAGCATGACCCATCATGAAATGGAAACCCTAGTGTCCATCTTTGCATTCAATATCCAGTATCTCCAAAGTGTTATTTGAGGTAAATGGTACCATGTTTACAATCACCATATACATGTGAGGTGGAAGCTTTTTCATCTGACTTCACAAAGTCAAAAACAGTTGCTCTAGTACCCTACTCCCAGACGCCCAGACCATTAACAATGGACCACACAGGAGTCTTCAGGTCGCGTCCCTATAAAAAAGGATCCTAACCTAAACTAAATGGCAAATAGGTGTCCACAGACAATGATCGGCCTTCCTGGGGGCATGGAGAGAGGAGTGTGGAAGGAAAGCCCAAGAGAAATGTTTGGTGAAGCCCCATTTCTTAGGTAGGGGTTTGGGTCTCTTCTCAGGGAAAACTTCTCTATTTCCTGCCCCTCCGCCCAACAACCCCAGCCTCAAGCCCACTGGGCCACGACACAGAGGCACTTATAACCATTTTCCTTTATTGTGTTTAGTGGGGCAACCAGAGGCTGGGGGAGGGGGAATGATCCTTGAAACGGAGAACACCCAATAGGGTAAAATCCACCCTGCCCCCACTGGCCGCTGGTTCGCTTCCACAGAGCTCAGGTCAGGCCCCTCTTTCCTGTGGGGTGTAAGCTGGCCTGGTCCCTGAGTCGGCCACGTTTTGCCAGAGAAGGCGTGTCTGGCCGCCGCCATTACTGACTAGCCTCCCGGTACCGGTGCAGCAGGTCACTGACGTCTGTACTTTCCAATTTCACCCAACCGTCTTCCTTCATGTGGTACACTGTGGGCAAATGAGAATGAACATGGAGTCACCTTTCACTTCACCAAGTTTCTGTCAATGGTGTTACGTGGAAGGTGACAATAACAGACGCTGAAACATAGGCTGCAAACATACCTTATTACTAGAACGTCATTGCCCCTCTTCTGATGCTGAAAACCTCCTCCTTACTGTGCCTCCCCTGGCACTCCCAATCTCAAATCCCCCCTCCCCACCCGGGAGTGTGGTAGTGGTAGCATTGGTCTCTTACTATTGACAACACCTCCAGAATAGCTGTCTCGGTGGGTGGCGTAAACGATAGCCCTGCGGCCAAGCTCATAGGCCTCTTCAGGGCTCAGATCGGGCCGGTAGCCACTATCCATGACCCCATAGGCATAGGTGTTCCCACTGCCAGTGGAGAACATATTTCCTGAGAGCCGAGTCCCATCTGAATTCACATAGTAGAGTCCAGGACCCTATAGGAAGCAAGAAGGTTCCAGGTTGGTATTGGGGAGGGAGTTTTTAGTAACAAACGGGTTCAAGTATGAGCCAAAAAAGGGGATAAAAGAGTTACTGCAGGACCGCATCTTAGTAACAATCACAGAACTTTGGGAGGAAAAAAAGTTGGAATCAGCTATTTTATCGAAAGGGACAAGCTTATGAAACAGTAGTCCACATCTGGACCCAGAAACAGCCCATGGATATGCCGGAACGGTTCTATAACCCAGTGTTCTCTGCGCCGCGCATCTTGTAGGGCAGGGAGTGGGAATGTATGATGGGGAACCTGGCCTCTCATCTGTTCGAAGGCAATATGGAGAATGGAAAGCACCCACCTTCTTATCCCAGCCGCAGATCATACTGCCCATGGACAGGCCCATGCCCCGGTACTGGAACACCATGTTGGAGAGCAGTTTGGAGGCTGCCGACACTGAGATACGCTCCCCGTTCCGCAGATAGTACAGCCTGGGTACAACAGGGTAGGGGGGGCAGAACACTCAGAGGTGGCAGAAGGCTGGATCTCTGAGCAACCCACTTGATACACAGGAAGTGATTAAAGAGATAAGCATTTGGGAGGAATGGTTTTGTAGGATCTAAGGATCAGGGAGAGATTTGGGATTTAAAGTATCTAAACCACGTGAAGAAATCCTAGTAAATGATACCGTCCCACCAGGATTGATGATGCCAGGGCTAAACGACTGACAAATTATCTGGCTTACTAGCTGGAGCACAGGCTGAGATTTGGCAGAAGGCCTTTATCACCAAAAGGCTGTTTGGTGAAGTACTACATTAGCACAGGGGGAAGGATGAGGAGCAGTGATCTGGAGGTTCCCAGACTCAGAATTGACCAAAAGGCTTAGGAGGGAGATGAGAGGCCTCGCCTACCTGCACTCCTTGGCCAGCAGACGCTCCCAGTACTGACAGTCCGCCGCAGAGCCAGCCATGGTGCCAAGCAGGTAAGGGTTAATCTCAATCACCTTATTACACCTTGAGGTGGCTGGAAGAAGATGGAGTTTTGAGAGAGGAGGAATGACCCTGCAACTCTCCCTGTGTGTCCAAAATCAGTATCTGCTTCTGCCTTGGTGCAGATGTTGGGCTCCTGCTGAGAGGGGGGCCCAGCTCCCCAGGTTCTGCCTGCTGGAACACACACACTCACCGATGTAAGTCCCAGCAGAAGCACGAGAATCCACCGCCACAACCACTCCATGCTGGAACTTGAAAGCCAGCGTGGTGGTGCCATGGGCCATCTCGATCTGAACATTCCTTTCTCCATTCCCACCATGGGACTGGAAGACTTCAGTGGGCTAATGAGAGAGAAAAGGCAGAGAAAGGGGCACTGAAAACTTCTGAATCACGGGGCTCCAGGAGAGGGCTTCGGAGAGTTTTGAGAACGAAGAGATAGGCAGAGATTCTCCAGCTACCAATAACTGGAACGGTTAATAACCAATCTCTACAAGGAAATGACCTGGGAAAAGAAGAAGCACGTGACACCAACCTTTTCCATTTTCCAGCACAATAGATACGAAAGGAAATAAATGTTCGCCGTAACTAAACATTGTAAGGGTGGCTTTAATGTTTTTTTTTTCCATTCATAAGTCCTTTAACCCCCACAATGGGTGTTGTTAATAATGTCCCCATTTTACAGAAGCGATGCCCCAGACCTTGCTTGACTAAGTGACTGAGCCAAGACACAACAGTTGAGTGGCTGAGAGGAGGCTAACAGCCAAAGTTCGCCGGTTTTCCAAGGCACTCCACGGCCCCTATAGCATACAATAGCCCCATGCCAAAGGCTCCGTGATTTGCGTGTGATGGAGAACTGGCAGGAAAGCTCTCTGGTCTTCCTCCACCACACCTCTAACTCTTTGCCCCAATCTGTACTTTCAAACCCTCAGGCGGTCGGCCCCCGATTCCCACGTGGCCCCCGCCCTGGCACCGCGCGCTGGACGCGGCTCTCCTTGACGGAAGGATGGC